GAATGATGAACGACACCATCCGCTTCACCCCCCAAGAGTCGAGGTAAATGCCGATAGCATCGAGGTCAGCATTCATGAGTGCGTAGATTTCACGGACCTGCACTAAAAACAACATATCGAAAGACCAATGATCATGGAGATGGCCTTGTTGTCCCCCAAAATGTCACCTTATTTTGCACATGGATCCCCATATTAAATTATTGCGTTTTTACTAACGACAATGGAGTGTATAGACCAAGTGTAGCTCGTGGCAGCAACCCCGCCTCAGCCTTCAACCATGAAATCGGTGGACCTTTTGGAACTGGGCACACCTGGGCCCACTCTCGAATAGCAACCTGCAACACCTGCTCATTCAGGTTCACAGACCTTTTAGAGGGAACACCTGTCAACTTCACACTTGGCCAGCGCAACAAACGCCCATCGCTACGCAGCAGGTGCCTAATCGGACAACACTGTTCCCATCCATTTGCCAGGTGCCCCTGTTCAGGCAACTGGACTTCAAGTGCAGCCATCCCGAGATCCTATGTATACAAACTTGGCCTCCCAAATGGCTATAAGAATTGTACCGAATCCACAAACAGCCATGATCATATATTAGAATGCTTCACATTTAAAACCCCAAAAAGATAGATATAAGATTACCCAAATATTGTTAAGAAATTGTCACCCGAACCACTGACGGACAGCCCGGCCTCCACCAGACCATGGGAACAGAGAGCTGCCTGGCAAGCGGGCACATAGATGAAATAAGAAAACGGGTCCCACCACAATGCTGATTTTTTCACCCGATCAATTCCCAATCACCAACCTGAGACAACCAATGATATAATTTTGAATGCGATGGGCTTGGCTCAAAAATCGATGTCTGAATCCCAACCACTTTGGCCGTTTAGACCGGCCTGCCAGGCGATGCAAAAACTTCGAAGATGTGAAGGGACCTCCGGCGCTGAAACCCATGGTGGGATGAGACTCCTATAATTAGGGGATGTACCCGTTAGCTATCATGCTATAGGTTGAACATGTCACAACTCACCTTTAGTATCATAATATCACTATATAATATATATATATATTGCCTGCTTGATATTAGAAATATGTCCAAGGGGCGCCCAAAGTAGCCAGAAAAAGTGTGATATTCAACAAGACCTACTTTTTAAAGATCCAGGATGGGGAACACCAACAAGATATGTTGACCAAAATCCCATTACCAAGCGGGCCTTCAGTTTGGAGTCTCATCGGCTAGCCATGTCACCTGCGATTTGGGTTGAGCAATTTGCCACAGATCTATCAACCACACCTAGCATGCATGGGCACTCTCCACGCATAGGCCCCGGGTCCCATTTTTCGCTTCAGGTTCCTATATGTATATATCACTCGACATCGACAGGCTCAGAGATGCGCTTTGTAGTGCCACCTGGAGGGCCACGGGGTGTAAAATCGATTTGGAGACCTGGGCCCGGAATTTCAAAAGCGGGGGCTACAAGAATTGAAGCAACCAAAGAAACCAGCCTTCATGTTTCTTCTTCAGCATATGGCAAATACCGCCGCTATTGACGTTGCAAATGATTTCATCAATCAGGGTATCTGGATCCGTTGCCACCTGAGCTACAAGTGGTATAAACAAAAACGGTTTGAAATTGAAACCTTGGCTTGCCAAAAACATGTTCAGTTGATGCAAGAGACGCCCTTCGGGTAGAGAGCTTTCACAGCGGCGTCCCAAAAGGAATTGGGAAGATCTACCAGTCCTGCTGCAGTCACATCAAAAAGTTTAGTCTGTGGGGGGAGCACCATGACCCAAAAATAACAAGCACTGAAAACTAAAAAGCACTGGACACTGGGTCCTTCATCTTTCAAGCGTTGGTGAGAAGCAGCCGAGCAACCCTCAAGGCATTTCGCCATGGTAGTAAAACCCAAATTTTGTTTGATCCAAAATTCTGCATTTAGGCTTAAAGTAAGTGAGAGTTTGTTGTCAGATGCCAGAACCACAGCTTGCAAGCAGGGCGGGGAGGCACCTCGGCAGGATTTGCCATGAACAGGGTGGTGAGGCCGCTCTACTCCGGTCTACTTTGATCACTGCAACGGAAAGGGCGGCCAAAGGGTGTGAAGAACCCAAAAATCCCTGAAATGATGAAAATTGCGATATTTCATTTTTTCTGATATTTCCCATCCTGGATCTTCAAAAAGTAGTTTTTTTTGAATATCACACTTTTTTGGGCTACTTTGGGCGCCCCAGGTAGCCTCATTCTTCAAATTGTCCACCGGTATCATGATAGGCTCTGCCCACTGGGGGGCCCATAGACGAATCAAAATTTCAATCACTTCATGGTTCAGGGCCAAATTTTCGAAATTCATCACCCCTTTCTGCTCGGGAGTCGGCCACGTCAAAAACGAGCCGGTTTTCAAAGCACGGCGCCGAAGCTTCTGATGTTCTTCGAGGGCATTAGACAAACCAGAGATAGAACCATCGATTCGTTTTTCACCATGGCTTTTCCTGGGCATTTTAGAATGGGCTGCCCGTTTGAGCAAAAACTTCGGGGTAGTTAATCGATACCAAAAAAGTTGGATTGCAGCCCAAGCCCAAACCGCAGCCAATCCCCTTGCAGGCGAGCACGGCAGAAGGAGGGCCGGGCACTCCTGAGTTTCCTTTGTGCTAGGCCTCAGGCGGCATAGGGGAAGATGCTATGGGGTGGTACCCATTCGTCTGCCACAAAAAATTCGAAAGTACAGCGTTCTTTTTGAATGAGGCCCCGACACCACACAGCCACTATGTCTTTAACTGAAAGTTTGGGCCTAGCCCCAGGGAGGACAGGTTCCAACTCCAAACTCTTGTTTCTGACATTTCTTGGACGAAACCTGATGGGTCTTAAGTCTCATGCTTTAGGGCGAAAGTCTTGACAAAAATAAATAGCAAGGAGTGCCAGGCCTGAACTGCTCTTGTGGTAGTCCACATGTAGCCCAATGTAGTGAGCCACCAACACCTTGCCAAAAAAATCGGCAGTAAGGAAAGGCACCCCTGAATGGACAACTATGCTAAGAACGTTTTTGGTGGATATCTTAGATCGATGGATGTTGATGATGTTAGAACAAACTGAAAAGTCATGGGCCCCTTATTGTAGGTGATGTTGTTCTTGAGCCAGTGGACCCTTGCCTCAATGTGTCCATGGTCCATGCCATTGTATTGTTCGCCAGACCTGCGGGGGGCAAAAACCACAAACCCATGTTCCGTTGATTTGATATTGAAAAGAGCTGCCGGAAAATCATTTCTATCTGCACAGGTGCCCGTTTGACTTTCTGCTACGCTTCAAAAGCCGGGTCTTCTCCCAACTGCTCTGCCCGCCACGTGTGAAGGCACTCTCATCCCTCCTTGTTCGCCATCTCCATTTCATTGCCTGAGCTGCGTTTTGGGCAGTTGGTTTGGTGGTATGCCACCAAGATAAGCTGAGTGAATAGTGCTACAATTGTTTGCAATTTTCGTGTCGGTGTGTTGTTAAGAAACGGACAGTACTCTTGCCAATCCCATAGGTATTGGGCCAGCTCATACAAAGAACCCTGTCGCTGAAAATTTTTGACCATCACTTTGGCCTCCTCTTTGCTGATCATTTCCTGGGGCCATGACACAAATTGAATTGCAAACAAACAAGGTTTTGATTCTTGACATGGATTTCAAAAGGTTGTCTCTTAATGATTCAGAAGAGGTTCACCAACGGCCTTCCCTGGCCAAAGAACATGCTTGGCCTCCCGAAGCCATTTCGGTGGCATACTTGCCAAACCTTCATGAGCGTTAGGGCTGCATCATGCAGTTGCGGTCTTGGGCGAGTTAAAAGCGTGGAATTAGATTTGCAGATGATATGGCTCCCCCGCCTCCTTCTTTAAGGATGTTCAAAGCACCTTCTTCAAAAGTGATAGGCACCGATTGGTCCATTGTCATGTGACTCATGTGCCAGGCCAGAATTTAAAAATCCAAGGATCCAAGATGGCTGAGGAAAACTGAAATCAAGTGAGCCAATCAGCTGAATCTGACACCTCTGCAAAGCAAAAGCAGGGCTGGGCGAGGGTTGGCACCTGTCTGGAGGTGCCATCGCTGGCAAGGCTTGGCCGTAAAGTGCTAGAGCCAAATTTTGGCAATATGGGGCCCCCAGAAGTGAAAAGGGAAAAAATGCCTCCAGCACAAAATTTATGTAGCAGGTTTTGCAATAATGACTCTGAAGGGGGAAAAGCAATTCTTCCCTCTCGAGGCATAAATTTCTGCCGTTTGGAGTTTGCAGGTATATTGGAAGGATATTTATGATCCATATATTGGAAGGATATTTATGATCCATATATGAATGGATATGACGTATGACATATTTCTTATGTTCAATCCTGGGAGGATGATCCCACATGAGACCGAGGAAGAGCACTTTGATTTCGCAGCTGCTACAGGCCATTTTTTCTATATGCCCCAAAAGATGGACAAAATCAATGGATCAATTCGTTTGGTATTCCGGAAATGGATGGTTCAAATTACCCCCTGGTAAACTAACATAACTATGGAAAATCACCATTTTCAATGGGAAAATCCACTATAAATGGGCCATTTTCAATAGCTATGTTAAATTACCAGGTACATCATTGATGGATATTGATGGTTCATTAGTAGTGGTCGTGCCCATCGAGTCCCGTTTCTGAGCAAGCCCAAGGGATGGTCAAAAGTCGGGGGAGAATCTTTCGTCCAAAGTAAATAGCAACGAAAGAAATTTACCCTTGATGTAACACATAATATCATAATATAGTTATGTTATGTGGAACTCACCATTTTAAGATCTACAAATGGGCCATCTATATGACATTTTTTTTGACAATATATGACAATATATGACCATATATGACAATATATGACAATATATGACAATATATGACAATATATGACAACTACCAACGGCTAAATCCTCTGCAGCCAGGCCGACTATCCTGGTTTGCGCGTGGGACCTGAACCCACCACTGACAAATTCGTGGCCATCATGGCAGGACCTTCGCGACAGCAGCTTCCAGGCGCACCAAAAAACTCGGGACGGGGATTTGGATGTGGAAACCAGTCATGGTAAGTGCAGAAAAACATAGAAAAACAACCAAAGTAATATAAGTAATAAGATGTTATAAGCAACTCGTAATGGGGATATGATGATATAAACCAACATGAACCAACAACCCCCAAAAATAATGAATGACGAGTTTGCCGTACCCACTATTTATTCAATATGTGAGCCATCCAGAACCAATTACCATGCCTAAGATGCAGATTCATCATATGTAAAATCAGGTGTCCTCAGTGTTTGTTGGTTTTTTCCCTATCATTCTTGATATTTATTATTGACAATTGACAACGTGTTTAATATCAGCAAAGATTGTGAGTCGTTGCTGGTTATCTTCAATTGTTGATTATATTATTTTGATCATTCTTGTCGTTCACAGCTCTCATAATCCCCAATGATCCCCAATGTTTGTGCACAGCATGTGGCAACCCCATCCTCAACCATACCTATTTGCCAAATCCAAGATCTGTTGGGGGGGTTGTCTTTTGGCGCATCCCAAAAAAACCCATGGCGTATCTGGCCTACCGACTCATATAGGATATCCACATCGGTTGCCATCGGTTGCCATCGATTGTCCCGCCACCATCGCAGGCTTTGCTCTTTGCAGCAATCCGCGGAAATCCTTCGATCAGCTCCAAAGCTTTGGCTCCAGCTTCCTTGAGCGCTGCTTGGAATGGGAAGCTTGATGCCCGGGATTCGTGGGAGGCCACAGTGGCAATACATGGCAAGCAAATAAGGTGGCTTTCACCAAAGAGATTGTGGGGATACAACTGGCATACTAATGCATACTGGAGTTTGAGGTTTTAGACACCAAAGATGGCCGACCAGGCGCCATAAAACATAACGAAAGGTCATAAAAAACATCCAAAAAACATCCAACATCATGTTTCATGACATGATTCTGTTGGGAAATCTGGGCGCTTTCAAAGCATGGACTCCATGGACCATCCATCCCCACCAGGCTTTGAAGGAGCTCTGATGCCGGAAGAAGAGGTGATGTTCTTTGATGGGCCACGGGATGGGTGACTCAACATGTATTTTCTGAATGCTAAGTTCAATGGACATATCCCAGAGTAGATGCACTTTTAAACCGACTTATAACTGGGAGATACATTTTCAAATGTCTGAAGTGATCAAACATGGCAAGTTCAAATCCTATATCGAATCTATAAAATTGGGGATAAATCATGATAAATCATCTTCAAAAGTATTCAAAAGGGTGGATTTCCCATCATTGTCCATTGCAGTGTTCGATTACCAGAGGGTACTGACCGTTACTGGTGTTCCTCACTTTTAGGCTCTAGACGTGATTTGTGATGAAATGCCCATCTCCAATCAACTTTGCACTTCACACCCAGTTGCTAGAATATATATATATATATATCCATATATATATATATATATCCTAATTTGGAGCCACCCATTTCCCCCTGTGTCCCACAGTGCTTTTCCTGCCTCAGACAACTTGAGACAATAGCAATCAATACACCAGAGCCTTTGTGGAGCCAAGCAATGCAACATCCAACCTCTGACCGCCACATCCATCAGGTGCCAGTACTGGGATCCCTGAGTTTCGTGGACACTCCTGGGGTGCTCAGTGGTGATAAGCAGCGCATGGGTCGGAGCTATGACTTTGAAGGTGCCATGGGGGGCAGCTTTGGTAAATGAACATCGATAACATCACCGGTCAGATGTGGTGGCGAGCTGATCCATGTCTTTGAGGTTCAAAGCCACAGACATGGACCATGTTTACTAACTTTAGCAACGATATTCCAAGTGTGAGGTGAGTAACGTTGACCAATCAGTGATTCTTTAGCCGGCGCGCGCAAAGAAAATAGTAGAGCTTGGGAGTGAGTGTTCAGTTGGAATGGTAGCACGTTTAGAGGCCAAGATCCAACAAACCCAATGCTTTTGAAGGCCGTGGATTGTCGTTAACATATGGCACTGCAGACTTATATAAATTGACAGATGATGCGGGTCCCATGGTTGGATTGCTTTCATGTCAGAGGACTGGACCTTTGATGATGTTTGTTCAGTGTGGTTCTTGATGCCGCACATAGCAGACCAATTCCGATCTTTGATGCAGCAGAGTGGAGATGTTCCACGGTACATCTCAGCGCTCCAGGCGTCATGGGCTGGTTTGCAGAGCATGCGGATTTGGTCATCGTTCTCTTTGATCCCAATAAGTTTCCTGCCCTGACATACGCTGACATTGGCACTGTGCATGGCCGCAGTTTTCCAAAGCCAAGGTCGGCCTAGTTTCGAGTTGTGTGGACTGTGTGGACATAGGATTTATACACTTAAATCACTTAAATCTAATGGTTTATATATAATCATTTTCTCCAAAATTGCCATAAATTGGAGGGGGGGGATACCATGTGATACCTACCCCTTGTTCAGACACACAGCTAAGGTTGGACATTAGCGATGAATTCCGGCGCTGCTTAGAAGCCTTAGGCGAGCCGAAGCTATCCTTTTGCGGAAAACCATGGGCAAATATGGCCCCCACAAGGTGGCTTTGGAAGCTGATTCATATATTCGATTTGCAAATCCATATGTATACTTAAACAATTTAAACGTCATGTTGGTCTTGTATGTCATGTTTGAGGTGTGTTCGCTCTTGCTGTTGTTGCAATCCACCATTTGTTGCCGATTCAATCTGAATCTGAATCTCCATGCTGCTTTTGAAAGCTAAAGCCGACCGAGAAAGATTCCCTGGACACAGGCAAGAACAGCGAGCGCAAAGTCCGCTTCGTTCTGAACAAGGTGCTTTGGCCACGAAAGCATCTGGAACTGATACCAATGTAAACGTTGTAAATGCGGAATGTTGTAGATGTTGATTGATTTATAGGGGCCAAGTACAAACTACATATTTATTAATATTCATTATATCATATTATGTGTTCAAATTTGGGCCTCAAGGCAGCGAGACGAGGCATGTTGAATCATGGCCCACTTGGATTCGAGTCACTGAAGGCTGAAAAGCTGGAAAGATTTGAGCTGGTGAGAGTCTTTGGAGGTTTGATGCCCCTTGGCTGAAAGATCTCCCAATGATCTCCTATAGCCTTGTAAAACATGTCAAACAATGCTTGTCATTTCCACACAAGAATACATAAATTGTATCAACTATCCTTTGCAGTTCGCAGTATTAACATGTATATGCATGTATTAACTATCATTTAAATACAACAAACACAAAAGAAAAGAAATAGGAATATTGTCATGATTTTGGGCAGATTTTTGCATTTCCAGGTTGAGTACCCATCCTAGGTGGTCCTTGTCGAAGGTCATCAGCAGTCCGGACGGGCTGGGGGTGGTGGGTGGTGGCGGTGTAATTTTTGGGGGTTCTAAGTGGGATGATAATGGACATTAATGGTTGTAAATGTGGGATATTAGTGGATACAAATGGATACACATGTTTCGACAAGAATGGAAATATAACGGGATAATATGGGATAATATGATATAAGTGATATAAGCGGATACTTTTGGATTAATCGTGGATGATAGTATATATATATATTATGCATCACACAATAAATGTGTTTAAAAAAAAGGCAGTGACACTATACAAATTAGAAAGAGGTTTACCCTGGGATTTAGGCAAACACAATGGGAATTGAAGTAAGAAAGATCTGACATGGCAACAATGGGACGGGCAAAGATGGTCAAAATGCCTATGGCACTGGAAAGACAGGGGCCTGGTAGACTCATAGCCACCTGGCCAACCGCCAGCAGGTGATTGCTATGGGCCCACTTCCCAAACATGTTCCAACTAAAACAGATAAGACAGAATCTCAGAAGTGCAATGGCCCAACTATTTTGGATGATTTTGGATGGCTTATCAAATGATTATCCATTTCATTGGATCATGGTGTGTTTCCACTTCTAACATTAGTTGCTTGAAGTCGACTGCTCCGTTCCGTGGCTTTCCGGAACGAACGCAAAGGAGATGCCATACATCTTCGTGTCGGCGGCTGCCGAGCTGCTTGGGCATATGTTCCGTGGTGCCCCAAATCCTTGAATTTCCATGGATCCCCAATAGCTGGATGGTTATGATATGTTATGATGGTTGAGTTCATGGAAAATCCCACAAAATGACATGGATGCTTCAGGGGTATGGTAGATCGCGGGATTCAATGACAGCTGCTGGACGGGAAGCTCCTCTGGATCAGCTCGTCTGGATCAGCTCGTCTGGATCAAGGATCAGGGCTTAGTGCCACCTGAATGGGAGTATAAATGATGTAGAACCCCAGTTCAACACATATGTTTCCGAAGTCATGGGATACAGCCCCTAAATCCCTAAATCATCCACATTCTTTTTGGTGATGTTCCCTGAAGGAAACCATCCACTCCCCCAAGCCCATCTAGCTCGAGGATTTCCAGCCATATTTTGGAGGATTTCCCCCCCCAGTGAAATCCCAAATGCCCATGGTTAAATTCCCATTCTTATGGCATTCACTTCGATAAACGTCTTCATTCAAATCACAAAAAAAAAGGACACTGGACAAGGTCCAACCACTGGAGCCAAAATGGCAATTCTTGGACTCTAAAGGCAATGTTATATGTTCCCAAGTGGAAGAACATCCATTTACAGATGATTTCCAGTGGGGTATCAACCCGATCCCGAAGTGGTAGGCGGTGTGCAGACCTTGCACCCGAAGCGCGGGACTTCTTCTTGAGTGAAGAGGCCAAGTTGCGTTTTTTGGCTGCGGAGTTGATGGATTCAATGGTGATTTCATGGGATAAGCTGGGGATATCATTGGATATATCCACCACGAAGCCTAATCACCGGACTTATAAACTAACTTGGCTAAGATTTGGGTGAATGCACATGAGTTTCGCCGGAAACTGAACATCATGGTTTCTGGCGAATTTTCCCACAATCCAGTGAGAGAAACATCAAGGAGAGTTGGGATTGATTGGTTCCTACATATTGGTATAGCTAGCCTCCAGGTGAATTCCATGGCACAAAGAAGTTGAAGAAAGGAATGTTTTTAATGATGAGATTCAATCATCTCAAGATATCTCAAGGCCACAGACAGTTTGTGTCCCTGACTTCTTCCATTTCCACCTTGTAGATCTAGCTGCACAGATCTGCACAGTCACTTTCAAGATCTTCCAAGGACAAGAAGTTTGGCAAGTCCCCTGTGACAACACCACCCGGAAGGCCCAGGACTGAGGACTTGTGGTTGACATGGTGGGATCCCTCACCGATCTGGAAACCGACAGGTCCACGTTCAATGTCAGACTTTGCATACAGGCTCCTATATATATATTCCAAATTGAATCTGCTTCCTTCTGAGTAATTTTTGGCCGGTTGATCGGACGATTTGACAGGAAACTCTCAAACATTGGGATTTAAACTTAAACCATGATAACATATGGCAACATATGGCAACCATTCTCAAGATTTTGGATCAAAAAACCTTCATGAAAAACCATGACACCAGCATTTGCACTTCAGATTTTCCCCATGGCACCATGGTGCCGTGGAGGTGAACGATCTCCTGCGTCGCGGCCGCTTGCTGCGCTGCCACACGCTGCTGGTGAACCATCTGCTGACGCTGCAGGGCCCCTTCGGACGCCGAAAGCTGCTGCGCGAGACTCTGGCAGATCCGGTGGGACGGGACAGAACCGAACCACTGGAGCACCACTGGAGAAATATGGTGAAATGGAGAAATATGAGGTTTTCACTTGGCTATCTATGTGTTAAATAATATAAATAATTCGAATAACTAGATGATTGGTAGTAATTATTGTTCTTTTTTTTGGGGGGGTGGGCTTGACAACTGGTGAGTGCGCAAGAACGCGCATCATTGGGGATGGATTTGTGGATGCTTTAGGTGTAGCATGGTGTAGCCAACAAATTGGGAAGTCAGTTGGCAGATGTTTGCAGCTAGGGACACTGCTACGGCTACATGTTGTTTTTCTCCAAGTGATATCGCAAAAAAAAAGCCCAAGGCATTCCAAGGCATTTCGATGATTGTAGAATGCCCATTGGTTTTGTTCCGTATACATATTAAAAACATATATAAATGGTTGCAAATTTCTATTGTTACCTAGTTAGATGATATTACTTATTCATATTGAAATTACTGATCAATATTCTATGTCTATACCTATTAATTGTGTAACTCAAACACGTCAAGACGCCACAGGTGAAGCTAGGAGCTGCCTGTGCTCAGGTGGCTCAGGACAGGCTTGCTGTGGGGCAGCCGGCAGGATGGGTATGTCACGGTATGTTTGTTGGAGCAGCCCCCTGGCAATTTAGCAGCTTGCGAACTGGAAAATCATCATGTTGAATAGGTAACCAGAGCTATATGTAAAAATGCCAAAACAAGGAAGAACATGTTTTGAATGAGGATGCGTTTACCGTTCACAAGCTTGGCAGCAAAAAGATGGAGGGAATCTGAGATTGGCCATTGAGCACATCGTACTTTGAAGCCGAGCATTCAGTAGCTTTCAGCATGGTTCTTCCCATAATGCAGGCCCCCCACATATTTTTAGACATCCGATGGATAGAATCGACAAAGATCCAATTTCCAGTTTTCGGATGGTTTTAGTTATTTTCCACACGTGTTTCACAAGCCGCACTTGTGCCTTGTTGGGGCTCGATTTCATGCTGCGGCCCCTGAGGAGTCTAACATCCCACTGCAAGATTTTCCATCAGCAGAGAACTTGCACCGTGGCAGCAGGGTGCATCTGATCGGATCATGTCGGATCATGCCAGGCGGTTTGCAGGCAGCCGGTACCTTGAGAGGATTTTCGTGGTTGAAATGATTCATGAGATTATCAACTCCAAGAGAAGTCATTCGTGATTTATGATTCATGATTGTACTATAATTATGATAATGCTTAATTGTGATATATGCTGATAATATATATATAAATATGTATGTACAATGTTGATATATTCTAATTCATGCAATCATCCATGATCCAACTTCAACTTACAAGATTTAACTTCCGTATCCTTCCGCCGCCCAGGACAGAACTATTTCGCAAGTTTGGAGATGTCAAGCCTTTGGGACTGCGAACTGGAAAGGGGGATCAAGCCAGTTTTACCAGAAGTCAGTCAAAGGAACAATACAGGAACCGCTTAAAGTTGGAAATATCGAACCAAATATTAGGATCCTGTAGATTTACCCAGGAAAAAAACTCCAAACGACGCCCTGTGGGTTTTGGATCCTTTCTTTTGGGGTAACATCTTGGGTCGCCCCACAGAGTATCATCCTTAGAAGTACTTGGCAGGTCTGAGACACCTGATAGCCTTGACATTCAGTTGAAGTGCATGGTGTGAAAGGATCATACTAAATCACCCACAGGAAGTTCTCGCATGTGATACCCCAGCAAAAAAAAAAACATGGAAACTCGAGCAGACCAAGCATTGCGGCAACAGCTGGGGTAAAGCTGCGGTAAATCTCAACCAAGGACAATCAAGCCCGTGCCATCCAGCCTCTTCCGCGCAGCAGAGGTGGGAAGTTTGAATAAATCATAATTATACCCTCTGGTAATTTAACGTAGCTATTGAAAATGACCATTGATAGTGGATTTTCCCATGAAAAATGGTGATTTTCAATAGCTATGTTAAATTACCAGAGGGTAACCTACCTCAAGGGTAGATCTCACCTGAGTCAGAGGTTTGGAGAATGTTCTTTCATTCCAGATGGATGGGCACAAAATCATTCGGAACAGGCTTTCTGCTCCAAGAGGTGAGAGCATCCACACCCGAATGAATAGAACCCCTGATCTAAGGATCTAGACATGCCCTCAAGTCCTATTTTCCAGGTTGAAACATCTAGATTTAATGGGTAATCCATTCCCCCAAGTATGAAATACCACCTGGAACCCGCTTGATTAATATTGATAATATTGGATCATATTGGATCTATTCTTTTCCCATCCTTTTCTCAATAATATAGGGTAATTAATTGAAGAGAATAATATTTTACCTTGGCTAAATCCCCATCAAAACTCCCCAAGTGTTTTCAGGCAGGTATCCTAAAAAAAACTCTGCACGAATCATGGCTTCGGTTTAAGTCGTTTAAGTAAACATAAAAGTTGAAACACATCCAGCAATGAAATGATACGAACAAAACAATACTCCCACATTGACTCCCTAAAATTCCTCTGGACACCCTAAAAATCAATTCAAAACACTTTTTTCAGATCTCATCATTTTTTGTGCCAGCTAAATCCCATGAAATCCTTATTGAAGCCTCCCTTACCCTCTATTAAGTTCGATGATTTTCCCAACCCCCCTTTGACCAACTGGCAAATGAGCCATATACGGGTTCGTTGGTTGATAGGTTTCCCTAAGGGTTAGTTATGGTTAGTTCATCATCCGCAATAACAAGGTTGTATAGTTCCTTACAACGTGAGGCCCAGCTATAAGTTTGTTTATTAACCCATTATATAACTAGTTCGATATATCCATAAGTGGGTAACATAACAAGCTAGCATATGGATGTTTATATCGTGTAACCAACATGTGTGAATCTAGCATAAACATCCATAAACCATAGAATTCAGCTAGTTTCATGACACCAACTTAGCCATCTTAGCTCAAAAGGAAGCCCTGAACACGGACATCCCTGTGCTCCTGGAGCGCGTGGCATCGGAACGAGAGGAGATGATTCAGCAGGGCATCCCGGGAGCAGCGCCCTGGCATATGGGGGTACCCTCAAATCATCCACTGACGGATTTTCCATGAAATCATGAAATCAACCATCCAGCGAGCTTGGGGTATACCCAATGGAAACCCCCAAAAAGGGGGATAGAATTGATATAGAATTGATAGAATCGGAAGAAAGTTTGGGATTTGGAATAATTTAAGATGATTTAAGGATGTATTTCGGGATTGGCTGAGGAAGTTAGGTGGTTGAAGCTTGAAGACTCGCAAGACCTTTACCGTTGACCAAGGGGAATTGCACGTTTGCGGAAAACATTGGGATGTCAACCAACAGGCATGTGGATTCCTGTGGATGTTAAACAGCGAAAATAGAAGTTCCAACATTTTGGCCACGACAGAAATTTGGAAACAATTGGCGTGTGGTTTCATTTGTTTGTGTTCTCCATGCTTCTTTGACCTTTCTGGGCTTCCTTGTTCTCCATTCTTGCTTAGGGAAATTATACCATTTTTAGGCATTGTTCTGGGAGACGTTTCAGCCACCGAACTGATGTCACTTCCTAGGTCCTAGCAGTGGGTCACTGGTATGAACATATCATTGACGCACGAGTGGGTCAATAGCAATTATCGCAACACATTTCAGCAACAGTATGATATCGGATCCTAAAATGGAACTTCGTCCATTCGCCGGTAACAATTATATTAGGAGCAATTCATGCGTTGCTCTGAGAAGCCGGTCAACTAGCGAAAACTTAAGATTGTACCGTACCTGCTCTATTTTGAGAGTTTCCGGGAAGAAACAGCCCGCCATTAATTTTGAGGTTTTGGTTTGCCTTGGCTTTGCCTAATGTGGATTGGGGCAAAAGGTTGCAGTGTTGTTACAGAATCCTAAGTATGTCTTGTATAACGGCCACTGAGTCACCTTAATATCCATCTCTGTATGTCATATTGTGGTCCAGTTCCATTTTCTCAAACTCCAGCTTTGCAAACAGCCAAGGATGGCCTGCTCAAAGGCAAAGGCTCAGGACACAATGAGCAAGTAGCCACTGCAACTGAGAAAGGAGCACCGGCAACCCGCGACTCAAAGAAGGTCTCTCCCATGTCGCAGGCATGACTTGTGCAGCGAAGTCAGCAAAGTGAGGTACAAATACACTGGAATGTCGGATGCCACAGCAAGAATCATCAAGATCTCCGGAGCTTGAAAGCTCTCTAGTTGTGCATGATGTGGCAGTTCCAACTGCAGTTCCTGTGGTTGCAATCAATCAACGGGGTAAGGCTTAAGGATGTTTACGGTCA